TAAAAAAAAAAAAAAAAAAAAAATTGGTCCTAGTCTTTAGAAGCTATACACAATCAATTACACTAACTTAATTACAGGAACAACATGTCACAAGGGTTTAGACAATAGTGAACAATTACATCCTGGGCCTCTGGCTTGATGAGCCATTTTAATGTGGATGCTCCTAAAATTGGACGACTGGCCATACACATTAATAACATAAGCCATGCTTTAAGAAGACACCATGTATGACATTACAAGCCCTATCCCATGGGCTCAAGAACCAACTATTTCCTTATAACTTCAGGTAAGCAGGCAGGCTACTAAAAGTAGTAATCTTTCCACATTCCATACTGCATTGTGAAGGACTTGTTCACCCCGCTCTGGAACTCCGAGTAGCATGAAACGGAGAAGTAGTTGGGCAAAATGGCAGATACACTTTGCATACTGTTCTCTCAATCCAGATATTACACGGCCCTTTGGTATCAGACAGCCTCATATGAAATAAACACCCTTATTGCAATGGTCTGGGAGTATTGCAGTTCCACATCAAGTCATCCTGGTTCAGATTTTTTGGGGACTAAAGCACCGTAACAGCCTGGTTTTTTACCTTAAATCTTTCCAAGTTTTGTTTTCTTTCATGAGGTTTTCTGTCACCATGCAGACAGACACATGAGAACTGATGTCCTTTCCTATCTGGGCCTGAAAAAAGTTAGGTTATTAATATTCTATTAAACAGAGAATAAAAATATACAAACCATTCAATAATCACACTGACAGCATACTACAAATATATAGAAGTTTAAGTCCAGAACTTATGGGTGACAGTATTCAGATAATTGTACAAAGACGACCTCTATGAGAAGAGGTTTTAAATGCCAGGCAGAAGATACAGTTCAGACATATCACAGTAACATACTATTTTGTTACAGGGCAGTCATTTTAAGCCTTTTTTTGGAAGGTATAAGTGACACACAGCAAGTAAGTTTTATCACCATCTAAATACATTTTACAGTACATGGATCTCAAAGTGCCAAGAGGCCAAGAAAAGTTTGGTGATCACAGTATGCCATCAACACAGGTGAGCAACTAGTGGTTAACTAATGTTACAGCTTTCAGAAAATTTTATAATTAAGATCTGAAACACTCTGAAAGAAGAACAAAAAACCATTTGATATAAACATCAAGTGTTAGTATTTCTTTAAAGAAAGCAAAAGTGAAAGACTATTTCAAGCCTAAACAGTCAATTTTGAGACATCAATAAAATGGATTAAATAAGTTTAAGATGAGAAATATTACCTCCTCCTTGTTGCATAAAGTATTGCTCCATGTTATCACAGTCTATTTTAGTTCTGCAGAAAATAATTGCTTGATCCATCTTGTGTTCCTTAATTGCTCGAACAGCATACTCTCCCTTTAGTATTTTAATAGCTTCAGACCACATTTCTGAGTATAACAAGAGATGTTTCTCACTCAAACCATTTATAAAAATGCTATTTTCCAAGTTTGTTACTATACAGTTTTCTGAAGGCTGCTTAGAAACCAGGTATATTAGTATGGATGGGTGCAATAGGCCAAGTCTGCAGCACTCACATTCTCCTGCCCCAAAGAAAAAGGGCAAAGAATTCTCTTCCCCCAGCAAGAGTTAAATACCTCTCATGGGGAAGTTAACCTGAGTGGCTGAGAGAAGGTGTCTGCAGACTCAGGCAGACATCCCTGCCTCAGTTATATTCAGATTTCATTTTCAAAAACTTTTCTTTGCAAACTTGAGGACTAGAAACTCAAGCTTTTTTCCCATTTGACTATGGCCTAATCACTTGACTCCAGGAGCTGAGATATGCTATACCTTTTTGTAGGGCCTCTCTCTCTCAATGCAGCCCAACTCTGCCTCATGATATCTTCTAAAGCAGGGGTGGGCAAACTTTTTGGCCCGAGGGCCACATCTGGGCAGAGAAATTGTATGTAGGACCATGAATTTAGGGCTGGGGCAGGGATTGGAGTGCAGGAGGGGTTCAGCAGGGGGTTGGGTGCAGGGTACGGCCTGGCGCCGCTTACACTGAGTGGCTCCGGGGTAGCAGCAGCGCGCAATGGGGCTAAGGCAGGCTCCATGCCTGCCCTGGCCCCTCACCACTCCCGGAAGTGGCCAACATGTCTGGCAATGGCTCTTGGGGGTGGGGTGGGGTGGGGCGGGGCGGGGCAGGCAGCTCTGCTGCACGGTGCCCTCGCCTTCAGGTATCATCCCTGAAGCTCCCATTGGCTGCGGTTCCCCATTCCTGGCCAATTGGAACTGCAGGGGACAGTGCCTGCAGGCAAGGGCAACGCACGGAGCCCTCTGCTCCCCCTCCCCCAGCGGTTGCAGAGATCTGGGAGCAGCGCAGGGCCAGTGCAGGCAGGGAGCCTACCTTAGTCCCGCTGCGCCATGGGGCTGGCAATCCCACAGGCTGGATTGAAAGCCCTGACCGGCTGGATTCAGCCCATAGGTCATAGTTTGCCCTCCCCTGTTCTAAAGAATACTATTTCAAAAGCCATTGCTCGGATACCAAAATGTTGTTAAGAACTCAGGGTAAGTTCAATTACCTGGACTGTTAACACCAGGCCTTGTATTATCTTTTGCATGTACCTCATCAGTCTAAAAAGGGGGGGAAAAAGAAAAAAAAAGTTAATTATAGCAGTGCCTTCATAACTACAGTAGTATGCACAAGTAGCATCAATCTCATCAATAGCTTGCTATTTGCATTTAATTTATTAAGCACCAACAATCTACTTGGTGTTCTATGACACAATAAGACAGCCACTGCTCCAAAGGCCTTGTCTAACATTAGCAAGCACCAAAGGTGAAGTTCTTGTCCCAATAGAATCAATGGGAATATTGCTATTAGACTTGCCAACCTCCAGGATTGTGCTGGAATCTCCAGAAATTAAACATCAATCTTTCACTGAAGATTATGTCATGTGATGAAACCTCCAGGAATATGCCCAACCAAAATTGGCAACACTAATTGCTATCAACTTAATCTAAAGTGAAATTTTTGCACTGAGTTTTCAGATCAATTTTCCTACCTCTAGGCCAAAAGTAGTTTTAATTTAAGGACATTTAGTGTTTGTTTTTAAGTGTGTAATGCACACAATTACAAAATTTTTCATTCCAAGTTCTCAAAGTCAATGCTTATTTTATAGATATTGCTTTACTTCTATGTTTCAGTTTACCTACTCCAAGAACAGAGCAAATCAATTGCATGGCAGGAATTAAAATTCTCATGTTCTTGACTTTCAGTCTCATGCTCCTTTCTCTAACTTAAATTGTTTTCTGTAACTGCTGAAAGGGAAACTACAGTATTTTGAGGAAGAGAGTTACAAATTTAGCTGATTCAGGATTTAAAGATATACTTTTTTTGAAGTACTTAAATACAAAAAACAGTAAAATTCAAAGTCAACAAAAAACACAAGAAAGCTAATGGTCAAAAATAGCTTTGTTTATTTTTAAACCAGAACAAAGCTCATCAGGAGAAAATACTCAACTAGAGAAGTCAGTAATAAGTAGTGAGGTAAGCTAGTCCACATTGGTTACTAAAGCAACTCTCCTGAAAGCTGAATAGTGAGAGTCACATTAATTTTAGCCAAGGCAGGAAAAAAAAAAACACCGCATCCCCACCACGACCAGCTTCACGAGAGCAACAGGAAAGTTTATATTACCATTGCCAAGTATTTATTTTTACAGAGCGTTAGGATATAGATATTCAGGCCTGTCTGCAAAGGCCTATACTTTAAGAATTTAGGTGTATTCTTATCACTTAGCTAATTATAGAGGTACAAAACAAGAATCAAAATCAGTCTGCCTGTTTATAGGCCTTCTCTCACTAGGATAGTCCAAAGCCTTGTTCTTAGGCTAAGGCTTTTGGCTAAACAGCAGGGGCAGCCATAAGGTGGGAAGCGAATGATCACGTCCTCAGTCACAATGAAATAAGGCAGTTCTGGGCTGTTAAAAAGGTGATTCGATCCATCACCTCCAGATAAAGGGAAGAGTAAGAGGAAATTTAGTTTGATAGTTTTCTGTTTGGTAAGAACTCACTTATCAATAGACACAGCTGGGAAACCCTTATGTCTTTATAGGTGTAGTTGTGAAATCCTCACTTCTGTATTGTTTTATTATTACAGTTTCCACTTTGCTATTATTTGCATGGTCTCTGTCTGGTTCACACCCAACAAAATTAATTATACAGCAGACAGAAACAATTAAGGTGGTGGGATATAATTGGTTAGATAATCATGTTACAATATGTTAGGATTGGTTAGTTATATTTCAGTAAAATGATTGGTTAAGGTATAGCTAAGCAGAACTCAAGTTTGACAGCACACTATATAGTAAATCAGGAAGTGGAGGGGTGGGAAATTGGAATCATGTTTTGCTAAGGGGGGGAATTAGGAACAGAGACTGGAACAGGGACACAGGCAAAGCTCTGTGGTGTCAGAGCTGGTAAGGGGGACACTGAGGAAGGAAACTGGAATCATGCTTGCTGGAAGTTCACCCAAATAAACATTGAATTGTTTGCACCTTCGGACATTGTTGCTCTCTGTTCATGCAAGAAGGACCAGGGAAGTGAGAGGGTGAAGGAATAAGCCCCCTAACATGGAGTTTGTATACTCTTTTGAATAGGTTTCTACAAAGTATGCTAGTTATGGAGAAATGTGTAGGCAAAAGGGAAAATCCTTGTTTTCTAAAAACATTTTTTTCTCTGAAAAAGCCAAACAAGAAGTTGAGGGGGGAAAAACAATAAAAACCCAACACACACTATGTAAATTTAGGGAATGACCTTTAAAAGCAAGTTTCAGCTACATTGACAAACACAGGACTCCCTCCAGTGGTTAATTTAAGACCTACCACATTCTATATCATAACCACAAATTTTTGTCTATAGAATGATCTCAAATCTCAGTGAGTTTTTAAGTTACTAAGTACTTTACCCTCAACTCAATAAGGATAAGTTCTCATCAGATATCTTAATTCAAACACTGCAAACAAGTTTGCCAAACCAACCTCGCTTCTCCATTTCACCTTGAAATGGTTTTGCAAAGAGGAAAATTTGCCTCTGGCTGGAAATGCTGGGGTCTAGCCATCCTCCTTGTGGGGTTAAGGATAGTCAGATGTTTTATCAGGGAAAATGAGTCTTTATGAAACTTCAAATCCAACCCCGGGCAAGAAAATAGTTTTCCCTTCCCCAGGTTAGCCAATAACTGCAGGCAGGGGCATTGTGAAGTATGAAGGTACTTGAAGTAATCGTCAAGGAAGATTATCTGCTCTTGCCAAAGAAACATGAGACCTCCTCAGAGCAGGTTTGCCTCCTCAAGCACAAATAAATGCCAGTAGATCTAAAAGATCAAGCTCCCCAGTTAAAGGGCAGACTGGGCACACAGAAGCTACTGAGAATTTTGGGTAGTGGTGGTGGAGCTGGAAAATAGAGTTCCTGGGCTCCAGTTGTGAGGCTACAAGATCACAGAGTGATCACTGCCTCTAATTATTTTGTTTAGGGTAGCAGGGAATAAGGTAAGTTGTCCACATCTCATAGAAGAGAAACTTACTCCTAATTCTGTGCTGCAGTGGGGCTGGATTGCACCAGAACGGCATGCCAGCATTTTTGCTGCACGAAGGATGTCATTTTGTTCTTAAAAATGGCAGCCTCTATAGCATAATTTCACACCCACCCGCCCAACATGGAGGATGTCATTTGGTAGAGCAAAAGGTCAACCTCTGTACAGCATGCATGTAAGGTCACGTTGTCAGAGGTATTCTGGTGGTTGCCCATTCAGGACTACACCCCTGTATTATTTGAAATGTAAGTCTTAACTATTACAATTCCATCAAATGAAGAGTTTAAAGAGCAAGAAATTAACAAAAAAAAAAA